TATCGTTTCCAAACTCAAACTTTTTGACTATCCGATTATGTGCAACCATAGGTCATGAAAATCGGAGATCCGCGCAAAAAAAGAAAAATTACTTTGCATGCGAGCAACTGCACACCAAACAGTGAGTCTAGCTAGTTTTTCCAGACCCTTTTCGCGTTTTTATTTGACTTCACTTTTTTTGTCTTTACTAATACTGTGGTCCTTAAAGTTATATTGTGTCCAGTTATGTGTGATAAAAATGACTGACTGATCATCTTTTCACGAACTTAAAAAAAGTTAGCAATATGACTGAGAGATTCAGGCTACTTCTGATAGAATATGTCATATATTGACAACAGATGCAGCACCGCACCACGTCACTTAGCGACTTTCTGTGGCGAACTATTGACATGCAAAAGAACTGAGCAACAAGAAAATGAGACGACCGAAAATGAGAAGAAACTTATTTCAAACTTTTTGAAGGCTTTTGCAGCCAAACTTGGAAATTTGTAACAGAACAATATGCTACTATTTTGGTTTCTCGGACCTATTTTAATGTGGTATTATCGGTTAATATTTATTATTTGATAATTTACTAAGAAATCGACAACATGCTCACAGCGCAGACTGATAATTCGCAAAAAAACAAAAGCGCACTGTATTTAGAAATAGTGTTACTGTGTTTATCAAAATTCCCGTCTAAATGGACGCCAACATATCTTACAGAATTTTCCGAGTTATGCTCTAAAACCGGTTTGTCACACGTCCCAATTCTGTGCAGAAACAAAGCAGGCCAAAAACTCTGCACACCTGCTCTAACTCAAAACATTATAAAGAAGCGACTCACTTCATCACTTCACTTGAATATTTCTCTGGAATTTCGAAGCTTCCCTCGCTAGGAACAGGTGATTCTCTGTCATCGGTCATCTCTGCAAAAGAAAGTTTTCATTACTTCGACGATTAAACAACTGCACGAAATTTTCGAACGAAACATAACATAACATTATATGCCAATCTCACAATCATAAGCGCGACAAACGTAAAACCGACAGCTAGTCGATAACTAGTTTTTCAAGTGCAGTGGGTTTATGGCAACTGGCAGCACTATTGACTATTCCTTAAATGTGAAGGCGCTTGATTCCTCCAGCAATATAAAGTGCCAGTATTGCACTTTAAATAATGGAACCTTATGAACGCTTCTTGAGATAACCGAATGGAGGGGGAAGGAAGAGAGAAGAAGAAACGCCAAAGGAATCGATTAACTTGAGTTATTTTGTCAATTTGACTAAGTAAGTAGATTTTCTCGTAAAAATTAAGGTGGTTTCTATTAGTTCTGAAACTACAGTGGATTAGCTGACAATGTTTGTAAGAGCAATTCCTTATTGCAGAGATAGTTAGAGCATAATATGTGCAATCCAAGTGGCCAAAGATTTAGTGTGAAAG